TCCTGATCTAAGTCTTCACCTAAGTCCTGATCTTAGTCTGGATCTCAGTCCTGTTCTTAGTCTGGGTCTTAGTCCTGATCTTAGTCTGGATCAGTCCTGATCTAGGCTCAGGTTTTCAGCTGCGTTACCTGTCACCATGGCAACCGATTCTTCCCCTATTCATGTCTCTGTAGCCATGGTAACTGACAGCTGAAGAGCTTTAGAGGAGGTTACCCACCTCAGACGGTCTGCAGCGTGAATCTGGTGGAGATCCACTGATCCTGTGGATCAATCAGTTGATTAATCATTGAATCCGATCAGCCGAGAACCTGCCTGATGGATCTTGGTTCTGTTTATGTCGGATTAAACCAGGGCGTTGGGAAAGCTGAAAAGCTTGATCCATGATTCTGATTTCTTTGTTCTTCCAGCTTTAGAGGAGACCATGGCTCCCACCGTCCTCCTCCACCTGCCCGTCCTCCTCGCCCTCCTGATGAGTCCAGCAGCTCCTCAAACCATCAGCCCTGCTGTGGAGGACCTCATCCGCAAGAACGCAGACTTTGGAGCCCAGCTGTACCGCGCTGTGGCCAGCCGCACAGATGACAACATCTTTCTGTCTCCTTTCGCGGTGTCCGCAGGAATGTTAGCTCTCCTGGGTGGAACCAGCGGTCCAACGCAGAATCAGTTGATCCAGGGACTCGGTCTGACTGGACTGGAGCCCCAGACTCTGCCAGGTAGGCAGGGTTTCCTATCAGGGGCTGTGAGCCCTGAGGAGGAGGTCTGGTATCTTCTTGTTTTACTCAAACTCTTTTGTTTCTCCAGATGTGTTTCAGAATCTGAGGAACGCGGTTCTCCAGACGACTCCACCCTTGAACCTTCTCCAGGGCTTTGCGATCTTCCCAGACCAGAGTTTCCAGGTGCCTGTGTCCTTCCAGGATCTGCTTCAGATGAAATATGGTGGAAAGGCTCAGAGTCTGCCTTACACAAACTCTGCTGAGGCCCTCGACATCATCAGCCGCTGGGTCCAAGAACAGTCCAATGACCAGATCAAGGATGTTCTGACCAACCTGGAGGACCAAACCAAGCTGCTGGTCGTCTCTGCTGCTTCCTACAAAAGTAAGAACCCGATAGTCGCTGGACAGCGTCCACTGGGGTCACTGGGAGAAATGAGCCACTTAACCCCATGAACTGTTTGTATTGAATAGAATTTTGTCTTCTTTTAGTCCGCTTCAATCCTCCCTTTAACTCCTCGCTCACCCAGAGTGAGCGGTTCTACGTGGACAAGTACCATGTGATCATGGTCCCCATGATGTTCCAGGCCGATAAGTACTTCCTGGCATATGACCGCGGTGTGAAGGCTGGCGTGCTGAAGCTGCCGTTGGCAGACGGAGCCGCCATGTTGGTGGTGCTTCCAGATGAAGATGTTGATGTGACGGCTGTGGAGGAGGAGGTGACAGCAGCGAAGATCAGAGCCTGGATTGCTCAGCTGAGGAAGACGTAAGGACCACCATTCCCCCTAACGGTGTCTCTATCTGCCCTTTGTTTGGGATCCTGACTGGAAGTTTTTCTAATTAGGAAACTGGAGGTGCAGCTTCCTGTCTTCCTACTGGAGCAGACCTACTCTCTGAAAAATATGCTTCAGAGGCTGGAAATCACTCAGGTGTTTCAGGATGACGCTGACCTCAGCAACATGGGTGGGGCTTCAGGAACAAAACTTACTGAGGTAAGGGAGAGAGGTTGACAGATAGTAAGTCTGATGGAGAGATGGGATCCTCAGGAGTAGTTAGAAGATTAACAAATGTGGAAACCATCTTCATGAATTCCTGTATTTATGAAGGAGTACTGTCTACATACCAGATGCTGGTATTAGGTTCGCCCTGCTCGCCCTGTCCTGTAATATCTCAGCCCATTCTGTGAGATTTTTACCCCCCCTAGAACACCTCACTCTGTCCCAAGCTGTCATCTTACATCTTACTCCATCCTGCAATGTGACGGAACAAACTGTTACCGGACAAGGTCCAGTAACATTTGTTCCGTCTTGTAAGATCTCCCCCTGTCTTTTAATATCCCATTCTGTAGAATGTCATGCCATCCTGTTAGATCCCACCCATCCTGTAACATTTTGCACTGACCTATAACATTTCGCCTTGTCCTGTAACATTTTGCCCCATCCTGTAACATTTCCAGTCGTCGTGTAACATTTCCCTTCAACCTCTAACATTTCGCCCTGTCTTGTAACATGTCATCTCCTACTGTAAAATTTCACCCTGTAACATTTCCCATCATCCTGTGATATTTCCCCCTGTGCTGTAACATTTCACCCTGTCCTGCTACATTTTGCCCCGTCCTGTAACATTCCCCCCTTTCCTGTAACATTCCCCCCTGTCCTGTAACATTTCGCCCCGTCCTGTAACATTCCCCTTGTCATGTAAAATTCCCCCTCGTCCTGTTACATTTCCACCTGTCCTGTAACATTTTTCCCCATCCTGTAACATTTCACCTTGTCCTGTAACATTTCCCCCTGTCTTGTAACATGTCATCTCCTACTGTAAAATTTCACCCCGTAACATTTTCAATGGTCCTGTAACATTTCACCCCGTTCTGTAACATTCCCCCTATCCTGTAAAATTCCCCCTCGTCTTAATACATTTCCCCCTGTCCAGTAACATTTTGCCCCGTCCTGTAACATTCCCCGTCATGTAAAATTCCCCCTCATCCTCTTACATTTCCATCTGTCCTGTAACATTTTCCCCGTCCTGTAACAAATCCAATCGCCCCCTGTAACATTTTGACCCATCCTGTAACATTTCCAATCGTCCTGTAACATTTCCCTTCAACCTGTAACATTTTCCCCTGTCTTGTAACATATCATCTCCTACTGTAAAATTTCACCCCGTAACATTCCCAATGGTCCTGTAGCATTTCACCCCGTCCTGTAACATTTCCCCCTGTCCTGTAACATTTCGCCCCACCCTGTAACATTTCCAGTCGTCCTGTAACATTTCCCCTCGACCTGTACATTTCACCCTGTCCTGTAACCTTTCACCCGTCCTCTAAAATTTTCTGTTGTCCTGTCACATTCCACCCTATCCTGTTACATTTTGCTCTGTCCTGTTACATTTCACACCGCCTGAAACATTTTGCCCTGTCCTGTTACATTTCGCACATCCTGTTACATTCCGCCCCATCCGGTAACATTTCAATTGGACCGCTAACTGTTCGCCAAGTCCTGTAAAATGTTGTCCCGTACTGTAACAGTTTGTGTGGTCCTGTAATATCTTATCCCATCCTGTAGCATTTTGCCCTGTCCTGTAACAGTTTGCACTGCAAAATTTCATATTATCCTGTAAGAATTCCACCCCTCCATGTAAAATATGACTCTGTAACATTTTGACCTCTGAAACGTTCCAATCCGTCCCGTGACATTTTGTCCAGTCCAATAACACTTCTGCCTGTACAGTAATATTTTGTCCTGTCCTGTAACATGTTGCTCTTTCCTATAACATCTGGCCCTGTCCTGAAGTATGTTCCTCCGTCCTTTAATATGTCGTTCTATCTTGAACATCTCTGTCCTGTAAAATGTTTTGCTTCCCTGTAACATTTTGTCCTGTCCTGTAACATCTAATTGTTCCTGTTGTTCCATAACATTAAGTTTTGTGGTGCAAGCACCCGTCTTAACGTCCTGTTTTAAATGAATGTCCTGACTGATGTGGGTTGTTCAGTCTTTCCAGGACATCTGTGATCAATTGAGTTACAGAGCTAAATGACTGAATTAAAAAATGACCTGATTAATTTGTTGTTTCCTGCTTTTAATTGTTTTTCAGGTTTATCACATGGCTGCTGTCTCTATGGATGAGAGCAGTGGTGACGGCAGCTCAGAGGGCGGGGTCACCACGTTCTCATCACCTCCACCACGTCTCACCTTTAACAGACCCTTCATCTTCATCATCTACCAACAGTCCACAAACAGCCTCCTCTTCATGGGCCGAGTTACGAATCCCACAGAGAAATGAACGAACCCCGCCCTCCTCATCACCCCATCCTTAGAAGCAGGTTACAGCATTGCTTCCTGTTTGTTAAACATGACGGAAACCATCAACCTGAAGCATCGTTGGGTCCTGATGGAAGTGGAAACTGATCCAGAACCATAAATTCTGGCATCATTCCTCTGATTATATCACTTCATAGCATTGCACTACATGAAAGCACTGAGGTCATATGTCGTCATTTAGCTTCTAGTTAGCATCATATTTATTTTGTGATGTATTCTCTTACATGATATGAATAATAGCGAGTCACTGACTTACTGTCTTGTCATTATATCCTGCATGTTAGCTTGTATCCTAGCATCATGTTCCTCAGGAGACCAGAAGGGCTCATCTGATTCAGCTCGTTTTGTCCATTTCTGCTCTGCAAGACGTCATGTTTGTTTTGCCAGTGTCACTAATGGACGTCTCTGTCGCCACCATGAATTCATGCTGGTTTTAATAAAACTTAAATAACATGTCATATCTGGAGTCTTTATATCCAAAAATTCCAGCTTTTCTTTGCATAATTAAAACAATTTTCATTCTCTTTATGGAATTACAACTATGACTACTTAACACCTTTATAGGGCGCTCAGTGAAATACTTTGAAAATCCACATTTCAAGCCAAAAGTGTTGTTGGAATCCAGGATAAAGCTTATTAAATTTGTAACATAAAAAATATGGATATTTTGATGCCAATAATGAATCTCAATAACAAGAAACGCCAACTTGGAGAGTGGGCTCCATTTGAAAGCGTGAGGTTATGCCCTATAAAGGGTTAATCCAGAAATTATTCTTATTACAAAACTTTTTTAAAAACACATGAGGATAAAAACTAATGCTGAATATTTTCCACATATTGAAACGAAAGCTGACTTTATATCAACCATCAGGAACCAAAACATCTCCATTACTTAGAATGAGTTCCTGTAATTTCTCATTTTCTTCCCTTATTGCAGAAAAAATGTTAGTTTGAAAGAAAAACCAAATGAAAGCTGTTTTCATTGAGTTTTTTTATTTTAAAATAATCTTTTAAGTTTCATCTGATCACATTCGACTCATCTTTGGTTGTCCACTGTGATCCCCGTCCAATAAGGTCCCTCCAACCACCTGAAGGTGAGGTTTTACTGAACCAATCAAATGAAGCGGTGAGATGATTAGAAGACACAGTGCTCAGTAGGTTCAGGTCACATCAGAGTCCACTGCTTCGGTCGATGCCAAGCTGCATCCTGGGCCTCATCCTGAAGCTGCTCCCAGGAAGCTGATTGGCCAGATGTGGAAGTGATGACATCATCGTCTTTAGCCTCATTCCAATTGGAAAGAGCTGGACTTCCTGTTTCTGTGACAAAAAAACAACAACAAAGGAACCAACAGTTCAGGAAGTAGCCTGGACCGGAGCTAAACCCAAGCATCTGCAGACAATCCAAACAGGTGTGTTCATTGCTCACTCAGGTGTTTTTTAAAGATTCATGGCGACAAACATTTATGTCACCAATAAACTTACAGCTTGAATCCATCAGAGGGACTGAAATCAACGAAAAGCTGAATCTAATCACCAGAAATCTATAAATTAGATTCAAACGACTTCTTGGAGGCTAGTTTAACGCTTTACAATAAGGTACACGGAACTAAATGAACTACTAGAGAACTAATAAGGGAGGTTAACCAGTGCTTAGGCAACTACCAGCTGTACATATTTATTACTCCAGTAGAAGTTTGAGGATCAACTTCAGCTTTTTACTCCAGTAAAAGTGTAAAAGTACCATTTTTAAAACTACTTAAAATATAAAAGTCAAATTAATAAAAACAGAAAAACTGTTAAGGCCAGAAGCCTATTAAAGGAATATTTTTCTACAATTCTGGATCATAACTGCCTTAGACTTCATTTTCTTAGTTTTATAACTAATGGTAACAGAGTCACATTTAACTTGATGAACAATTTATTTTGGAATGTGGTGAGCAACAGGTTGGGGCAGCACCGAGTCCAACCACAAAGAAATACATTTTCTGGATGAAACTTATTATTTTGATGTTTGTTTGTTTTTTTTTTTATACCAGCAGGCCAGAATGAAAATGAGCTTTAATGAAACAAAACTAACGAGACTATTTTTAAAATGTGAGGAGTAAAAGGAAAAAGTTGTCTAAAAAAGAATTACTCCAGTAAAGTATCGATAGCCAATATTTCTACTTTAGTAGTTCCAAAAAAAGTAAAAAAAAAACAAAAAACAATCCAAGTTTGAAGACGTTTCTCTTCCATCCAGGAAGATTTTTCAGTTCCAAAATGTCAGAAATTGCGTTTAGTTCCAGGTTTTATCCAGCAGCCCAACAAAGCCTGGTTTTAGTTTAGAAAACATGCAAATAGAAACGGATGAACGGGTCCCCCCCTTTGGAATGGGGGTGGTTTGGCTTCTTTGTTAGCCTGCAATGCCCCATACCTGTCTATGTCTCTGAAAGGGGGGTCGTTAGAGGGAATAGTTGGCCTGGCTGAATAGACGAGATCTTTTTTTTATTAAACTAACTAAAGTCCAACTAAAGTGGACTGCATCGTCTTTGTTCCTTGATGATTTACTTCCACCTCCATCTGATTCTAGATAAATATCTGACTTGAATGACTCTGAGTCGAGTTCTGACCTCTAACAGATATGCACTACACCAGATCAGAGAAAACCAAAACACCTGAGCAGAAACATTCCTTTTAGACCTGTTGGGCTGGGTCAGGTAGTCCTCTGCACCCAGTCCAACAGGTCTTTAAAGGAATAGTACACCCAAAACATGATTAGCCTTCATTTTCTACTCACCCCCATGCTGAACAACACTCTGGAGTACTTTTTTGATATCTCAAATGCATCTGGAGATCTGGGAGGCTTCTTGCTGTCTGCTGACATTCAAATAATGGAGGTCTATGGCGCCCGAGGCAGAAAGGTCCATAAAAGTCCACAAAAAACGTGTCAATATTCCTCCATACTGCTCGTCCAATGTATTCCAAGTGTCCTGAGTGGGTAGCATCCAGAATTTACTCGAAATGAAGTCATTTAGAATGTTTTTAGAGCATAAACAGTAGTGTATAGTATTTCCTAAAAGCGCGTTCACGAGTCTACGGAAGCCGGCAGACCAAACCAGATGAAAGTGCGCATTCAGCGTCTGCTCTGCCGATATTTCAAGCATACAAGAAGAAATGTGCTGTTTACCTGTGCAAAGAAAGAAAGAACTAAAGAAAAATGTCTGAGGACTTCAGTGTTGAGGAAGAGCATGAGTTCTTTGCCGAGCTGAATGCGCACTTTCATCTGGTTTGGTCTGCCGCGGTTTCCGTAGAGTCGTGAACGCGCTTTTAGGAAATCCTATACACTACTGTTTATGCTCTAAAAACATTCTAAATGACTTCGTTTCGAGTAAATTCTGGACGCTACCCACTCAGGACACTTGGAATACATTGGACGAGCAGTATGGAGGAATATTGACACGTTTTTTGTGGACTTTTATGGACCTTTCTGCCTCGGGCGCCATAGACCTCCATTATTTGAATGTCAGCAGACAGCAAGAAGCCTCCCAGATCTCCAGATGCATTTGAGATATCAAAAAAGTACTCCAGAGTTTTGTTCAGCATGGGGGTGAGTAGAAAATGAAGGCTAATCATGTTTTAGGTGTACTATTCCTTTAAGGTCTGCCTGGTTCCTTTAGTCAGGACTCACATGGAGAGCCTCCTGGACTGACTGTCCATCATCCCACTGCCACGCTCCATCGTCTTACTGCGCTGACCCAAGGTGCTGGTCCTGGGATCCCTGTGGTCCAGGGAGATGGTTCTGTGCTCTCTTTCTTCCAGGGAACTGGTTCTATGCTCCATCATATTGTTCCTGTGCTCTCTGTTACCAGTCCTGGGGTCCAGTTTGCTGGTTCTGGGGTCTCTCTGCTCCAGCATACCGGCCTGGTCAAGGAGGCTCGTAGTTTTGCTCCTGATTAGAACCGGCATGGAAGAGGTGGACTGGGTCGTCAGGGTGAAGTGGGCCATCCTCCCGGAATCATCTGTAGGAAACAGAAAGTGACTTTAGAGCAGAAACGATTACACAGGGAGTTCAGGAGGTTCTAGGTAAGCAAATACCTCTGGTGGACTTCCCGAGGCCCGAAGAGCTGCTGGGATCTTTGACCTTCCTTCATCACAGAAACAACCAAGAACAAATCAACCAGCATTATCAGAAAAACTCCAAAAAAACAGAACAAGGTCCAACAGTTTTGTTGGACCTTGATTTAGAAGCCTATTCAGATAAATAGATTGGTCCTGATTGATTCTTATTGGTCAGAATGGTCCTAATTGGTCAGATTGGTCAGATTATTCCTGATTGGTCAATTGTCAGAAACCATAGTAAAATGTCTGTGTTCCTCCTGGTAATTTGATCACGTGTCTTTAACAACAGCTATGGTCAAAGAAACACTTGAAGGCAGACAATGAGCTACATGTGGGGACATGGTGTGGAGGAAGATCAGACATCCATCAGGTGAAAACACCTGCTGGACTCTGCAGGCTGGGTGAAGTTCTTACAGAGGTCGATCCGAGTTCAAAGGTTTGGCCGAGGTGGGCTGGCTGCTGAGGGACCGACTGCGAGACAGTTTGGCCTTCCTTATCTCTTTACCTGGACACAAAGCAGAACCTTCCTCATCTCATCATGTTCCTCCTCCTGAACGTTTGCATCGTCCGTTTAATGACACAATCATCTTACCAGAGGACGCGCCTCCTGTTGACGAGGACACGGACATCGACTTGGTAGAGGACAGACTAGTCTTGCTGTCTCTTCCTGTCAGAGAAAGTTCGTTAACAGAGGGACGTCTTCTATATCTGCTGGAGGTTTTAGTGACGAACTGAAGGTTAGGCTCACTTTTTCGTTCCATGTGTTTGTCAGAGTTCAGCTTTTCATCGTTTTGCTGCCGCTCCAGCTGCTCCTGACAACAGAACACGCATCAATAAAACCTGTTCCACACAAACAGAACGTTAGTCTCAGACTCACCATCTCCAGCAGAAGCATCTCCTCCTTCTCCTTCTTCTGATCAAGCAGGTCCCACTCATGTCTCTTATGAAACTGTGAACAAAAACACCACGTATCCTTTTGAGGAACAGACAAAGCACAGACTTGTTTATTGCTTAGGTGTTCGTGAACCAGGTCCTTACAGGCTCAGACAGATCCAGTTTATCCAGTTCCAACACTGTCTGGAGAAAATGAGGGACGGCAATCAAAATCCAAACAGCAGATGCTCAAACACCCAACTGGTTCCCATCCCATACTGGTCTCAGATTGAGTTACCTTGCGGATCATGGCCACAACGTCTTTGTCTTTCTCTCGACAGAGAATTTTTTGGACACAGAAATCTAGTTTCTGTAGCAGCAGCTTGTCGGCTGGCAGGCGGAGGGACGAACGCAACCGAGGCAACAGCTGGCAGAGCTTATACCTGAGGAAGGTACAGGTGAGTCATCAGGACAAGGAGCGACCATGAGAACAAGGCTGAAGGTCCAGCCCTGTAGACAGGAAAGATCTGACCTACCTGACATTGGCAACAGGGTCATGGACAAGTTCCAGTGCCGGGATCAGGAAGTGCTTGTTGAAGTATTTTCTGGAGAAAATCTCTGTGGCAATTTCACAAACATCTAGGAATCTCAGACGGTTCCAATAGCTGCGACCTTGAGCAATCTCTTAGAACAGAAAGAACCAGATTGACCAAAGAGCCAGGTTAGGAGTAAAACCAAGAGAAGCAGAAATGCCCTCACCTTGGATCAGCCGCCCCATCATCTCCTGACGCTGCTCCTGCTTGCGGTTGTAGCGTAAGAATGTGCAAAATGTCCTTGCCGCCTCCTTCTGAACCGGTAATACTTTCTACAACCAGGGGAAAGCAGAGCATAGTTACCTGTCTGTCACCTGAGCCACCTGTGGAACTGTCTGAGTCTGACAATGCTGACGTTGGTGGTGAGGATGGTGAAGATCCGAGCTGAGAAGGTTTGGTGCAGAAGCTCGCCTGGCAGCAGTCTAGACAGGCAGCTGTAGCGGTGGAGCAGTTTCTCATGCAACCGCCAACGCAGAGAAGATCCAACTTTCTGTTCAGCCGACAGCAGCGCAGACAGCAGCTCCTGGAGCTGAGAAGGTCCACAGAGAAACCACAGGAATAATCTAAGAACCGAATGGCGAAAGGAAAATTAGGCCAACCAGAAGCTGATTGTCTCACCTTGTTGTCCAGCGTCAGGTTGTCTCCTCTGGACAGGACCACCTCCAGAGTCTCGTCCAGGTGGTTCATCAGAGCATCTAGGACCTAAACGTTAATAAAGACAAACATTTCAAGCACCAACTGGACCCAGTGGATCTACGTGAAACCCATCTCTTTACTCTGACACAAGGGGATCGGATTTCCACCTCCAAATAGGAGCCAGGAACCTCACCTCCAAAGAACTGTCTTGGAGCAGCAGCATAAGCTCTTTGTGGACCACATGGGCGTTAGGCCCAAGCATCTTCACCACCTGACAGAAAAGGCAAAGTTGTGAGTTAAAATGAAAGGAGAGACCAAGGAGAACCGGTGATTCTTCGTTCACACCGAACACGACTTCAGCAGCAAAAAAAGTCTGCTGCTTCATTTCAGAGAAGTGATCATAGCGCTCTGCATCAGCAGTGCTGTGTCTGACTCCCTGCCAGCTCCCAGATCAGCTTCTCTGATTGGTTGATGCGACGCGTCAGTTGCCTCAGATGCTCAGAAGCTCATGAGGCGCTGCTAGCTGCTGCTCAAATGCGTGTCAACCATTGACTTTGCATGTAAACCAGCTGTGCGATGTGAACGTAGCATTAGCCTTACCTGGTGGATAGTGGCTGCTACACTTCGGCGAACGCTGACCTCCGGGTCGCTGCAAAGACCCGAGAAGGACGGATATAGATTGGACAGGAAGTGAGCCGGCTCCACAAAGGCCACCATGGCCTGAAAACGGAGAACAGGAACAGTTCTTGAACGACCAAAGAACCTTCTGGTTCTGTAACTGTGGAGACTTCAAATAGGCCTGGGGGTCTGTAGGCTATTAAAGGAATACCAAAGAACCCTAAGGAGATGATTATGTCCCAATTTAGTCTAAAAATAGACGTCACAAACCCAGCTTTAAACGACTTTTCAACATTCTGAAACCAAATGTAGACGTCGTTTGGACGTCAATCATGTCGTCTTTTTAACCAATTTTTGCTTGATGGGCAAGAACTTAAAGGGGTTTGGGGTGGAAGTACCGGTATATTGTAGCAGCAGTTACATCGGATCAACGTGGACTCGCTGGCGTCCATCTGATTTTCTTCAGTCGGTAGTCCGGTGATACACAGAACCTGAAACTTCTGCATTAGGAGCTCCTTCTGCTCATCCGACAGGGAACCTGAAACACAACGAGCAACAATCAAAACACCAAAAACAACCTTCAGGCTTCAGGAACCAGGCTCAGCTGACATCATGAGTGGAACCAGGCTTGCTTATTGGGGAGTCATCCTTAATCCAGGGCAGTACCGGGTCTCATTCTGTCAGAGGGTCCTCTGGGCTGAGCTGTATCTACTGTAAAATGAAACCTGAAGAGCTTCAACGAAGGTTTTGTTAGAACTGTGTGGTCTAACCTGCCAGTCCACTGCAGAGCTTCCCAAACTGGAACGACAGTGACACCGTGACCCCCTTGTCCACCTGTGACGAAGCATCGCATGCTGACATCACCAATGGAACCAAAAGGTGAAGTAGATCATCTGAATAAAAAAGAGGGTTTTGTCATGGTTTAGGTTCTGTTCAAGTTTTATCTCTGAGTTTTCATTGATCTTATTTCCATTTTTGTTTTTTATTGTATTTGAGTTCTTAGATATTTCTTGTTTGCCCTCTTGTGCCAGTCTCCTTTTTGGATTTTGGCTTCTGTTACCCTTTTGTTATTAAAATCTGCAAGTAACCACCTTCAGCTATAGTGTCTGCATTTGGGTCCTCCTTCAAACTCCACCACCACTTGACAGGTTTTAAAAAGTTCTGCTTCAGTTTGGACTCACCTCCGTCCATCATCTCCATCAGACTGATGATGCTGTCAAAGGCGGCCAGTCGAACGCTGCTCTCCTCATCGCCGGCGAGTTCCAGCAGCTCAGGAAGGAGCTCGGTTCTGGTGTCATCCACCCTGAAGAACAAACGGGACCTGCTGAATCGGTAAAGTAGAGATCCAGGGTAAAGCGATCACAGAGTCAGCGTTCTGTTTACCCAATGGCTCTGGCCATGCTCTCCAGCTGGCGGCACATACAGACTCGGACCTCTGATTCCACATCCTGACACAGAGAACGGGCCAACGGCAGCAGCTCCTTTTTTACTCTGATGAACAGAACCAGTCAGCAGTTGAGTTAAATGGGATTCAACTAAACACTCCGCCTCAGCTTCTGTGCTGTGCCTCACATAAGACAGTCGAACTTGCTGGAAGCTTTTCCTAAAATACGGCAGGCGGCCAGACGAGCCTGAGGAGAGTGAGACAGCTGACTCTGGTAGAGGAGAGGGTTCAGCACCTGGGGAGACAGAAGCAACAGCATCAGGTCCAGATCAGGAAAGTAAACTATTTTGCTTTTATTGTCATGTATCAGTATCCAGCCATTCCTACATTTCAGAATAAAACATATTCCAAACAGGGAATAATAAAACGGGGATATTCAAATCCCCTAAATGTTTAGGTACAAAGTTGTCTCATTGGCCAGATGCTAGCTTCCTTTTCTAGCTCCTGTTTCTAAAGCCGGACGCACACTGTACGATTTATGGCCTTTTCGGCATGATTCTCCAGTCGTGTAAGAATTTTTCGTTCGGGACGACTTTCTTCCTGATGGTGCGTGGTGTAGTGTACAGTGGTAACGAGGGGCGATCAGCCTCTAACGACCACCCCCCATCAGGAATCAGAAGGTCAGGAGAAAATCAAACATGTTTGAAATTCAGTCGGCCGTCCTAAGGAGGTCGTGGGCAAATTGCTCAGTGGGCAAACAAGGATTCCTCTTCTTCTTCTTCCTCTCAGATGAAAACCCAGCAGCATGGCGGGGGGGCAATGAGTGAAATGGAGTTCTTTCTGTGAAATTGACAGACCGTAGTAGCCACGTTTGCTCAGCCATGTCTTTGACCAAATACGTCTACTTCTTTTCTTTTTAGGGCTTTCAGAACAAAATTGCACGAATTTCCAAGGCAGCGCCTGCAGCAGCCAGGGCTAACGTTAGCCCTGGCTGCCGCAGACGGGCTATCGTTAGCCTGGCTACAGCAGACGGGCTATCGTTAGCCTGGCTACAGCAAACGGGCTATCGTTAGCCTGGCTACAGCAAACGGGCTATCGTTAGCCTGGCTACAGCAGACGGGCTAACGTTAGCCCGTCTGCGGCAGCCAGGGCTAATGTTAACCCTGAATGCTGCAGCCGGGTTAATGTTAATCCGTCTGCGGTAGCCAGGCTAACGTTACCCCGGCTGCTGCATTCAGGGCTAACGTTAGCCCGTCTGCGGCAGCCGTCTCTCTGCATAGCCATGTATGAAGTACCGCTGGCTTTGATGGAGGTTTGATTGTTTTATTTGGCAAAATGTTTATTTGATGTGTGTTTATCTGACTGTGTTCATTATTATTCCCCCAATAAATGAAAAAAGACAGAATTTATTATTATCCAGAGACTATTAATAAAAGGAGGTGAAATGCAGCTCCAGACTAGCTTTGAATGTGGTGATGTCATCAGTACACTTCTGTTCCAATTGACCCAGATTTATTCTGCGCGCTCTCGTTCTCCCCGAGTCCAGACTTTCCTGGGTTCTTGTCAAGAACGGACTTGGTGAGAACACGAGTCTCTCCTCACATTCTAGTGAAATGAGAAACAGCAATTGTTTTATTTTTTCACTAATTAATGCTAACTTCATCGAATCACCATGAACGTATTAGTTTTAGGTATAGATAATAATCCATTGCGGACCAGACTTTTAACAATTGACAACTAGAACCTGAACATGGTTGGTTAACAGAGTTTTCTCAGGGACTGACCTCCTGCTTGATGGTTTCTTTGGGCAGAGCACTGATGGCTGACAGCAGAGTCTCCAACCAGGCGGTGCTCACCACTATGGAGGGAAGAACGACACCCAACAACGCCTCGAGTGAGTCCACCACATCAGGACGAGACTTATAACATTCAGAAAACATCAGATTCAGTTGGTCCAGGTGATCTCAGGTGTTACCTGCATCCCTGTGGTTCAGGTGAAGCAGCACCGTCTTCAGGATGGAGAAGGTGTGCGTGTGGATCAGGATGATGTCATCCTGCAGGATGGTTAGGAAGGAAGTTGCTGCTGCCAGCTGGATTTCAGCTCCGGCTCCATTCAAGACCTCCTGGTTCACACAGACAGGACGGATACATTCAGTGAAACCATCCAGGAAGTCATCCGTCCGGTTCACAGGCCACACTTACCCGAACTTTAGGTACAACTCGCCGAAAAGTCTCCGCTGGATTCTGACGGACCAGGCTGGGTAGGTTGCTGATGACACTGGCTCTCTGGACCTCCTGACCAAAGCTGAGGAGTGAGGCAGAGAAGGGAGAGGTTTCAGATCAAAGACCGGAATCCAAACATCTGGACACTGGTTGGGCTACAGCTGGACATTTTGGATCTGTTCTGGTTTCAATTTCTAGATGCAGAAACACCTTGAAGTCTTTATTTTATGCCCAGGAAGTTCTGTTTGTGAATCGGTACAGTGAACTAGATCAGACCTTCTGGGACTAAAGTGGTGATTAGAGTTTAATTAGCTGCAGAGTTTACTGGGTCAGAGAAGAAGGATGGGAGGAAGACATCAGATGAAACACCTGACAGCTGAACTTCACCTGTCTGACACCATCTTTAGTGTTCATCAGCCCTGACCCAGTGTGGTGGGAGGTAATTCCCGTCTCCAGTGGTCAGCAGGCGTTCCAGTTTCCTCCTGAATATGGGAGGAACTGGAAGACCTGGAGAACCAGCAGGGGAACTCCACACAGAAGGATAATCGTCGTCCTTGTTTTGATGTAAGATAGCAATAATCTTTTCACTACTATTTGGCTCATCGGCGATCCTCTGTGACGTCCTACACAACGTCTGCGTTCCTTCTAATCACTGTTCGAACTACGGCTGAAACAATCAGATTAATTGTGATTAACAGGTTACTGAAATAATCTTCAATTAATTCAGTAATTGATTAATCGTTAACTGGATTATAGAGACTGTAAAACATGCCTTTAGCTAACAGAGCGACCCACTTAGAGCAGGAATTATACCAAGATTGTACAAAAATGACAAAACAAAATTGTCTTCTCTATCCAGAACTCCTGGAAGGTTTGAGTTTCACCTGGTTTAATTTAGTAAAAAGTCTTATTTAAGGAATCTTTCGCTGTCTGGTTACTAATCGATTTGCAAAATAACCGTTATTTGCAGCCCTAGTTTTAACATCAATAAATCCAAAAAGTTAAAATTCAAATCAATCCCCTGGACTTTGTTTCCAAGTTTGAAGACGTTTCTCTTCCATCCAGGAAGTTTTTTCCATTCAAAATGTCAGAAATAGCGTTTAGTTCCAGGTTTTATCCAGCAGCCCAACAAAGCCTGGTTTTAGTTTAGAAAACATGCAGATTGAAAGTGGAAAATCAGCTCCACCCCTTAATAATGGGAGTTGTTGAGGGCGTTATTGGCCCGCAATACCCGGTACTGGTCTATGCCTCTGAAAAGGCAGTCGTTAAGGGTCATTGTTGGCCTGGCGAGATGTTTTGTTCCCCTGCATGGCGGTGGGGGTTGCGATGATAGCGGGAAGGAATCGACTCTATTGCTGCATTATAGGTTTTTGAAAGCTGAAACCTGAGTCCCCCCCCTTTTGTTTAAAGTCGTAGGGAAGCGGCCGTTCCAACCGTTGCATTTCCAAATTCTCCCAGTGGTGCCCAACTTTACACCAGTGAATAAAGGGAATGTGATTGGTCGATTATCAAGGGGGCGGGATTGTTGTGGCGGAAGGTTAACAAGCAGCTTTGGTTGTAGCCGGTTTGTGGGAAGCATCATGCTAACCAGTTAGCATCTTAGTGCTAGCAGGTTCCCAATGGGAAATTCCATTGGGACCAAGTAGCACTAAATTGGTGACTTAGAAACGACGCTGTCAAGGAACGCTATGGACAGCGGAAACATGCAAGAGGAGGAGAGTTTAGTGTCGGAGGTCGTGGATGAGTCTCCTCCGTCATCCATTTTTTATTTAGAGGAGGAAAGCGGGGACGAAGATGTTGTGGAAGAGGACGCCAGGGCGGCAGAAGCTTGGTTTGGTGTAGAAGGCTTCCAGCCGTACATGTTTGAGCCCTTGCCTCGCAACGCTGCCAGTTCTGTTAGCTCTACGCCTGCCGAAGACACAGACGTCCATCCCCGTGAACACTGGGCCGCAACTCAATGGGAAAGGAAAGGATTCTGGTTTCAACCTGCAAAGACACCTGATCAGTCGCATGATGACCTCCAAAGACATAGACCAGCTCACCTGAGTAGGTACACAGCTCTCTCCACGTCATTCAGGTCTTCATCCACAGTCAGCTGATCAATCTCCTCTGCAGTCTAAAAAGAATGGGAAAGTGTCTCAGAGACCCCGCCCATTAGTCTGAAGCCACGCCCACATTGTTAAGAAGGAAGAGGAAACCGTGACATCAGTCATTTCCTGATTTATTGGTCAGTTATTGATGGGTTAGTGAGCAGATCCACCTGTGCAGGCAGGATCAAAGGTCTACATGTCATCATTTCCTTTTTCTTGTCTCATCTTATTTTTCACTTTATCTCTTTATGTTGTTATTCTCTCATGTGTTCATCCCTTCATGTTGTCATCTAAAGCTCCCTTTGCATGTTTTTTTTCTCTTGTATCTTTTGTCCATATTCCAGATTCTGACAGAATTTAGTCTAAAAATGTGTTTTAATGATCAGGATCTGAGCTGCTTCCTTCCTCTCTGCTGGTTGGGTTGATTTGGATGGTTTTTCTGCAGCTCTTTGAGCGCCTGATGATGATGAGGAGGATGAGGATGATGATGTGACTGACTGCTGGAGTCCTGCCTCTGCTGACTCAGAGGAGACCCTGAAGGTGCTCCGTGTGTCCGTCCGACCCTCTGCGCTCTCAGACAGACCGACAAACTGCGTCACTCTGCGCACATCGCGGGTTTCCCTCCGCTTCATCCAGCATGATCCACCATCATCATCATCACCGGCAGCAGCATCCTCTTCATCACGTCTCTCACATGCGGACAGCTGCTCCATCAGCAGAATATCACACCTACCTTCAGGCTCCTGCGGATCGGCCGCTCGATGAAGGCCAGCTCCTGCAGCTCCTGCAGCTCCTGCAGCTCCTCCGGCGGCTCGCACGGCGCGCTGAGGGTCATCCTGCCGGAGAACATCTGCTCACTGGAACCGGCCCAGTTCCTCTCTGCTGCTTAATGGGAGAGCAGCTCAGCACCATCCATCCCTGACGAGAGGATGGGGGCGGACACGGGGGAGGGGAGGGGAGGGGAGAGGGGGGATTGTCTCTCCGTTTCCAAGGAGATCCCGTCCGCGGCGGAGCTGACGTCATCCGGCTTCCGTTTAAAGCAGGGACGTCAAAGTCAAACACACCGAGGGCCAAAAACACAACAACGAGGGCCGGACTGGTTAAATGTTTATTAAAACATGTTGAAATGAACATAGCCTATTGAACCAAGACCTAAAACATTTATTGTTTTAATATCAATATTATTAATATACTTTTATTATATTAATAAACTTATTAAGATAAATACATAAATGAAAGTTCATGCATTATAAACCTAAAATGTATCACTGTGCTGTTCTATGATCGATCACTGCTTTCAAATAGTAAAATAAGAAAAAACAAAGACATCAAATCAGTTGTATTCTCTCTACGACAGAATATTAGGGCTAGAGATTTTTTTCTTCTATTTCCAGAATAATGTCGTGATATTGCAAGAATAAAGTCGTAATATTATGGGAATGAAGTCGTAAAAATACTAGAATAAAGTCGTAAAATTATGAGAATAAGGTCGTGACATTACGAGAATAAAGTCGTAACATGAAGAGAATAAAGTCGTAATATTACAAGAATAAAGTCGTAAAATTACGAGAATAAAGTCGTAACATTACGAGAATAAAGTCGTAAAATTATGAGAATAAAGTCGTAACATTACGAGAAGAAAGTCCTAACATTACAAGAATAAAGTTGTAACATTACGAGAATAAAGTCATAATATTACGAGAATAAAGTCGTAAAATTATGAGAATAAAGTCGTAACATTACAAGAATAAAGTCGTACTATTACAGGAATAAAGTCGTAATATTACAAGAATAGAGTCGTAAAATTATGAGGATAAATTCGTAACATTACGAGAATAAAGTCGTAAAATTATGAGAATAAAGTCGTAACATTACGAGAATAAAGTCGTAACATTACGAGAATAAAGTTGCAATATTACGAGAATAAAGTTGTAACATTACGAGAATAAAGTCGTAACATTACGAGAATAAAGTCGTAAAATTATGAGAATAAAGTCGTAACATTACGAGAATAAAGTCGTAACATTACGAGAATAAAGTCGTAAAATTATGAGAATAAAGTTGTAACATTACGAGAAGAAAGTCGTAACATTACGAGAATAAAGATGTAACATTATGAGAATAAAGTCCTAATATTACGAGAATAAAGTCGTAAAATTATGAGAATAAAGTCGTACTATTACAGGAATAAAGTCGTAATATTACAAGAATAAAGTCGTAAAATTATGAGAATAAAGTCGTACTATTACAGGAATAAAGTCGTAATATTACAAGAATAAAGTCGTAAAATTATGAGAATAAATTTGTAACATTACGAGAATAAAGTCGTAAAATTATGAGAATAAAGTCGTAACATTACGAGAATAAAGTCGAAACATTACGAGAATAAAGTCGTAACATTACGAGAATAAAGTCATAATATTACGAGAATAAAGTCGTAACATTACGAGAATAAAGTCGTAACATTACGAGAATAAAGTCGTACTATTACAGGAATAAAGTCGTAAAATTATGAGAATAAAGTCGTAACATAATAATTCGTAGAACAGAAAAAGGGGCTTCACTCAAGCTGTTATGTAACAGGAGGGATGTTAATCACATACAAATTTCAGAAGTCAGGAATAAAAATATACATATATATCTTCTTTAATCATTACTGTTGTTATTATGTAACAAAACAGTTCAGCAACAAATGATTGCAGACACAAGTGTCTGCAATCATTTGTAACCCACAGCACATAAGGCCCTACTTCCGGGTTCAATCTGAGTAGTGCGCCCTGTCCCTTTAAAAAGGGGCGGATCCCTGACCCAAATAGATCGCTCCACAGATGCTACAGCCAACGCTGCTCCTCGCTGTGGCTTCTCTGTTTTTGAAAAAAAACCCGCCTTGACACTCCACCGCTGCTTAATTTACTCTGATTCCTTCACTATAGATCATTTTAGCTTCTTACAACTCGGTAAGTTTGTTTTCATCTATTGGCTCATGCTTGATTGTTCATTCAAACTTACTGATAACTTAAATAATACCGCAGATTTACAACTCATAACCTGGTGGACATTCCCTATATCCTCTCCCAAATCATCTACTCATCGGTGAGTTAAAGTATATTATTTTTATTCCTTATTTTGAGTTTGTGATGCTGCAGTACACCGGTTGCATGCTACGCTAACAGGGGTAGTTAATATAGCTCCCAGACACGCCCACAGCTTCACTCAGACTTTTTTTTTTTTTTTGATTAATTCAGAGGGAAACTTTTCCCCAACCAAGAAGCAGTAAGATTTTTTTCCCAAGCAGTAAATGTATTGGTTATACATTATTTTATGCTTTGGGTTAATTATAGAACTTTGTTTGGAACTTTTCCAGCCTTAGAAACCATGGTACTTTTTTGTTTAAATAGATCTGATTGTTTATTGATATGTGTTGCGCAATACAATTAAAATGGAACTGTTGAAATAATTTGGGTTTTTGTTGACCCATGATTTCAGCTTTGAATAAGTGCACTTTAATTTAACTTGAGATATTTAGAAACATTGAAGCTTCATAAAGAATTCTTGTTTATTATTTAAATTATTTGATGTGTCTTAGTGCTGTGATTTATGGCATAACTAAATGACTTATTGTTTTTATTTATTGCTAAGATTAAATTTATTATTTTACTAATTTATGATTCTGGCCTGATTTCAGGTCAGGTTTTTTTTTTGTTGTGTGCTGTTCCTTTGACTGTCCATTGGGTGGCGAGCTACCAGAGAACCACCGATACAGTGTGGTAGGAAAAAGTTCTCACAAACCTGGATCCTCTGATTTTGTTTTCCCAATGGACCTCATGAACTGTGAACCTTTTACTAATTAAACTGAAGAGTTTAATTTTTTTTTTTTTGCTCTTTTGAATCATCCTGTTGGAATATATTTTTTTTTTTTTTTTTTTTTTTTTTTTTTTCCTTTGAAATTATATTGATTATCACATTTGTGTGTATATTCTATTAATTCATATCCATATAAATTATATAATATAGCTCATTAACATGTATACGTAACCCATACTCTTTCTATTAGAAAATAAATATACAACTATTAATCATAATTTTCTTTCTTGTGCTTATTCACACCCCTTGACTCTACGCCGAATCTACTTCTGAGCTCATTTTGCAGTCAGCCAAGCCCAAGTGTTACAAGTGGCAAGCTAGCCAGGAGTCAAACGGTGTGAATAATCTTCTAATTAAACATGGATTTTGTTGTGCAAACAGGTATCAATATAGCACAAGCTGTTTTGATCTCAGGTGTAACTAATACTTCATCAGATAATGAAATCCTTGATATATTATGCACACATGGCTCACTTAAAACAGTTCTATCAGTTTCTGATCCAAAAAGCACCTTCTATAAAAACCTTATCGTTGAGTTTGAAGAAGCAAGTAGCTTTTCTGCTGTAAGTTCACTTCTGCCCTATAGATATAAATCAGAGTCTGCTGCTAACCACGTGTACTGCGTCACTGCTCTCAAAGATGAGTATGCTGCCACAGCGGGGAGCAGCAGCCATATCCCTGACTACATCCACAGTTTTAAAGAAATGGCTGAAAAGAGTGGGACAAGTTTTGAGCACATCCTCAAAACTGTGATGGACCAGATCCACCAACATTTGAAGACACAAGGAGCAATTGAAACTGGAAATGGAGAGGATGCAGAACCAGAAGAAACCAAAATGACCGGTTTAACCACCGCACCAGCTGCACTTGAGGTACAAGCTCCATTGGTTGCACCTCAACCCTCTCAGCCATCCCCTCTTTCTACAAGCACTGAACAACTCGGGGCACGACCACGCCAAAGCCATCAAGTAGATCCAATACATACTGGTTCTACACAAAGATTTTCTCTGAACCCTAATGATCTCAATCCTCCTGAAATTCAGAGGGTTGTTGTTGAACATGTAGTGAGGAACACTGACCTGACTGCTCCAGTTTCCCTACGTCTTCGCTCATTTTCTGGACGTGTTCCGAAGCCCATTAATGAAGCAGACTATGAATCATGGCGTTCACAAATTGAACTATTACTTGCAGACCCGAGCCTTTCTGCCCTGCATGTAACTAGGAGGATCATGGAGAGTTTGCTGGTTCCTGCTGCTGACTTGATTAAAGGTTTGGGCCCTAACACTTTGCCAGCTGTGCTACTGCGTCATCTAGATTCAGCTTTTGGCACAGTACAAGACGGTGAAGAGTTATATGCCCAGTTCCTGAACATACTCCAAAACCCAGGTGAGACAGCATCATCTTACCTCCAGCGGCTTCAGCTTATGCTGACAACTGTATGGAAAAGAGGAGGAGTGAATGCTAATGATATGGACAAACAACTGCTGAAACAATTTGTGCGTGGATGCTGGAACAATGACATTATCACCAAGTTGCAGCTCGAACAACGCAGAGGCAATCCACCACCTTTCTCTGAACTGCTGCTGCTTCTGTGCACAGAAGAGGACAGGCAACAGGCAAAAGAGCTACTGATGAAGAAGTACATCGGGTCAAGTTCTTCCAAGCAAAAGGTTACCATTCAGTCACAAAGCACTTGTTCATGTGGCCACACAAGTTCTAGTGACGAGCTTAAAGAGCTGAAGAACCAGATCCAGCAACTCCAATGCCAGATGTCATCCTTCCTGAAAGCCCAGAAGAAAATCGAGTCAAGGCCAGCACCACGCCAGTCCAGCTGCCCTTCACCTCAGTCATCAAACCATCCAAAACCTTGGTATTGCTTTAACTGTGGTGAGGATGGACATATCTCTTCAACCTGTAAGAACGCATCAAACTCCCGCCTGGTTGACCAAAAGAAAAAACAACTGCGGCAAAAACAACAAGCATGGAACGCAAAGCAGAATCAGTCAAACTAGCAGCAGCTTCTGTGACGGGACACCCAGGAGCTGCAACTAAAAGCTGTCCTAAAGAACCACCCAGACTGCCACGCCTTCCAAGAGGCCTTGTGGGGACAAAATGTACTGGCCAAATACAAATAAAAGGAAATGCATTCAACTGTCTTTTTGACACTGGCTCCCAGGTCACAACAGTGCCACATTCCTTTTATAATGCACATCTCAATGACCATACGATACAACCTCTGAATAACATCCTTGAAGTAGAGGGGGCCAACGGACAATGTGTGCCATATTTGGGCTACATTGAATTAAACATTACATTTCCACCTGAGTTTCTGGGTACCACCATCTCCATAGATACATTAGCACTAGTGGTTCCAGACTTAAAGCAGTCCCAACCCTTAATTCTGGTTGGTACTAACACACTGGATTTGGCCTATACCCAGATTCAGGACAAAAATCCCAGTCAGCTTTGTCAGCCTGTTACTTCAGGTTACCAAGCTGTTGTTCAGATTCTTCATCATCGCCAGAGGTGTAATTTGGATGGCAATTATGTTGCTTTGCAGCTTCCCGAGGCATACACCATCTCTGCTGGCCAAACGACTGTCTTTGAGGGTACCCTGGCCACTCGGTCGCTGCAAGGAGAAAAATCTGTTCTAATTGAACATCCAACTTCATGCACCCTGCCTGGTGGTCTCATAGTCAAGACATGTCTTGCTGACTTGCCACCTCGCCAGCCATGCCAATTGCCGGTATTGATTACAAACGAGTGTGAACATGCCATTACCATCCCAGCACGAACAACCATTGCAGAAGTCAGCGCTTTCCAGACCATTTATACCAACCAACAAAGCAGCTATTCAATTCCATCTACAAATAGCTCATCATTTCAGTATGACTTTGGAGACTCCCCATTAACACCTGAGTGGAAACAGCGAATCACAGACCAGCTCAACAGCATTCCTGAAGTTTTTGCAAAGCATGACCTAGACTTTGGCAGGACAGATAAAGTTAAGCATCATATTAACCTGTCTGATCCTAGTCCTTTCAAACAGCGGCCCAGGCCAATTCATCCTCAGGACATTGAAGCCGTAAGACAACATCTACAGGAGCTGTTGGAGTCTGGAGTAATCCGTGAGTCAGAATCACCATTTGCATCCCCCATAGTAGTTGTGCGTAAAAAGAACGGGAGTATCAGGTTGTGTATAGACTACAGAAAACTCAATTTGCAAACTATCAAAGATGCCTACCCGCTGCCCAAACTCGAGGACACTTTCTCTGCCCTGTCTGGATCTACCTGGTTTTCAGTTCTTGATTTAAAATCTGGTTATTATCAGATTGAAATGGAGGAGTCTGATAAGGCAAAAACTGCTTTTGTCTGTCCTCTAGGTTTCTATGAGTTCAACAGGATGCCGCAGGGAGTGACAAATGCTCCAAGCACGTTCCAAAGACTCATGGAGAGATGCATGGGAGAGATGAACCTAAAAGAAGTCCTGGTTTTCATCGACGACCTCATTGTTTTCGCACCAACTCTCGAAGAACACGAAAAAAGACTGTTAAAGGTCTTAAATCGACTGAAAGAATTTGGTCTGAAATTGTCAGTTGAAAAATGCACCTTCTTTCTGACATCAGTCAAATATCTCGGACATGTTGTTTCTAAAGAGGGCATCGAAACGGACCCTGACAAAATCAAGACTCTTACTACATGGCCAGTCCCCCAAAACCTAAAAGAACTACGGTCGTTTCTTGGATTTGCTGGATATTATCGGAGGTTTGTGCAAGGATACTCCACCATCCTTAAACCCCTTCATGATCTCACCGCCGGTTACCCTCCAGCACAAAAGAAACTAAAACCAAAAATAAAGTCTAACACATATTTAAACCCTAAAGAACCATTTGGAGGCCGTTGGTCAACAGAGTGTCAAGAAGCATTTGAAACTATCATTGCAAAACTCACTTCTGCTCCCATCCTAGCCTATGCAGATTCCCAGAAGCCCTACATATTGCATACAGATGCAAGTTCCACTGGTCTTGGAGCGGCCCTCTACCAGGAACAAGAGGGAGTTAATAGAGTTGTGGCTTATGCCAGCCGAGGACTTTCCAAGAGTGAAGCAAAATACCCTGCTCACAAAATGGAATTCCTGGCTCTCAAATGGGCTGTCTGTGAAAAATTCCATGATTATTTGTATGGGGCAGAATTTACTGTTGTAACCGACAGTAATCCGTTAACATACCTCTTCACATCTGCTAAACTTGATGCCACAAGTTATAGATGGTTATCAGCACTGTCTACTTTCAATTTTAAAATTGTTTACAGAGCTGGTAAACAGAATGCCGATGCTGACGGTTTGTCCCGTAGACCCCATGGTGAATTGATTAATGATTCTGTTTCCAAGAAGGAACAAGAACGTATACTCAAATTCACCCAAACGCATTTAGATGACTCGGCATGTGTACTTCTCAACTCACAGACCATTAGTGCTCTCTTCAACCGTCATTTGCTTTTTAGTCCAGATGCCGATCCTGACCATTCCCTGGTTTTGTCACTGTCTGTACATTCTGACAGTGTGCCAGACAGTTTCACAGATGACACACAGTTCACCTCTTCTGTACTTCCACAACTCTCTGTTGCTGAACTTGTGTCTAAACAACGAGCTGATCCAGTCATTCAGCATATTGTTGCACAACTGGAGCACGGAGAATCAGTACCGCCACTGCTCAGAGAGCAACTCCCAGACCTACCTCTTTTACTGCGAGAAGTAAATAAAATGGAGCTCCGTAACAACCTTCTCTTCAGAAAAAGACAGGTGGGAGAAAAGACAGTGTACCAACTTGTGCTGCCAGAAGAATACCGAGCTGATGTCTTAAAACAATTACATAACCAAATGGGACACCTAGGCTCTGAAAGAACACTGGACCTCGTTCGTTCCCGGTTCTACTGGCCACGAATGGCTGACGTAGCAACTAAAATAAAAACCTGTGAAAGATGTATACGTCGTAAGTCCCTTCCTGAACATGCTGCACCTCTCGTGAACATCCAAACAACCCGTCCTCTTGAGCTGGTCTGCATAGACTATCTGTCTGTAGAACCAGATGGTCGAGTCAAAGACATTCTAGTTATGACTGATCACTTCACAAAGTACGCCGTCGCTGTGCCAACTGCAAATCAGAAAGCTACAACTGTCGCCAAGTGTCTCTGGGATAATTTCCTCGTGCATTATGGAATACCAGAGCGGCTTCTGAGTGACCAAGGTGCAGACTTCGAATCAAAGATCATTAAAGAACTTTGTGAAATGGCTGGAATCAATAAAGTCCGAACCACTCCTTACCACCCAAGAGGAAACCCTGTTGAGCGGTTCAACAGAACTTTACTAGACATGTTGGGAACTCTAACTGATCAGGAAAAGTGTCACTGGAAAGAGTTTGTAAAACCACTGGTGCACGCTTACAACTGCACCAAGAATGACTCTACTGGGTTCTCACCATACGAACTGATGTTCGGCCGTCAACCGAGGCTTCCTGTTGATCTAGCCTTTGGACTACCATTGACTGATGATGAGCCTGAATCTCATTCCCAATACGTTCAGAAACTAAAATCTCATCTTGAAGACAGTTATAAACTGGTAATCAACAACTCAAAGAAACTAATGGAACGAAACAAACTGCGCATCGACCGCCATATAACTGCTTCTGAACTGGCTATTGGGGACAGAGTTCTGGTGAGAAATGTACGGTTAAGGGGTAAACACAAGCTGGCTGACAAATGGGAACGTGAAATATACATTGTAACAAAGAAAGCAGAAAACCTTCCAGTGTATACAGTGAGACCTGAAGGTAAAGAAAAACCTTTAAGGACTCTACATCGAGACCTACTGCTGCCATGTGGATACTTGTCTGCAACAGTACCTATGAAACCTGAAAACAATGCTAGAAAGCCTCACCCCTCTTCTCCAACAGATCCTGTTGAAGATATGGAGGATGATTATGACGATGACTTAGTTCTGCATATACCTGTTATGCCTGAACCATTGAAATTCTCTACTGTTATTGACATCCCGCCTAACCCACAGTCTTCTCGTACAACTGAATTGCCTGTTAATCCTGAGAATACTGAACCTGCAACTATGGAAACAGAACCTTCCACAATGGAACCTGAGCCTTCAGCTGCAGAGGATGCAGTGGAAGTCGTCCCTGACCACAGTGAGGTTCAACCTGATGAGACTATGCCTGTTGAAGCCTCCTGTCCAGAAGAAAACTCGCCTTCTTTGGAGCCCTCCAGCGACGACCTAGAAAGTGACCCACCTGAACATACTGAACCAACCTTTCACCGTCCAGTCCGTAAAAGGAATCCACCAGATAGACTCCAGTATTCTAAACCCGGCCATCAGCTCATGAAAAGCATCCAAAGCCTTTTCCATGGGTTGAGCTCCATGTTCACTGTCGCCCTTCTGGAGGACAAAGAAGATGTAGTCTTTGGATCGCATCAGCCAGTCATCAGCTGTCAGCCGAGTCCATGTCCGAGGACGTACATGAGAAAAGGGGGGGAAAGTGTAACCCACAGCACATAAGGCCCTACTTCCGGGTTCAATCTGAGTAGTGCGCCCTGTCCCTTTAAAAAGGGGCGGATCCCTGACCCAAATAGATTGCTCCACAGATGCTACAGCCAAAGCTGCTCCTCGCTGTGGCTTCTCTGTTTTTGAAAAAAAACCCGCCTTGACACTCCACCGCTGCTTAATTTACTCTGATTCCTTCACTATAGATCACTTTAGCTTCTTACAACTCGGTAAGTTTGTTTTCATCTATTGGCTCATGCTTGATTGTTCATTCAAACTTACTGATAACTTAAATAATACCGCAGATTTACAACTCATAACCTGGTGGACATTCCCTATATCCTCTCCCAAATCATCTACTCATCGGTGAGTTAAATTTTTATTCCTTATTTTGAGTTTGTGATGCTGCAGTACACCGGTTGCATGCTACGCTAACAGGGGTAGTTAATATAGCTCCCAGACACGCCCACAGCTTCACTCAGACTTTATTTTTTTTTTGATTAATTCAGAGGGAAACTTTTCCCCAACCAAGAAGCAGTAAGATTTTTTTCCCAAGCAGTAAATGTATTGGTTATACATTATTTTATGCTTTGGGTTAATTATAGAACTTTGTTTGGAACTTTTCCAGCCTTAGAAACCATGGTACTTTTTTGTTTAAATAGATCTGATTGTTTATTGATATGTGTTGCGCAATACAATTAAAATGGAACTGTTGAAATAATTTGGGTTTTTGTTGACCCATGATTTCAGCTTTGAATAAGTGCACTTTAATTTAACTTGAGATATTTAGAAACATTGAAGCTTCATAAAGAATTCTTGTTTATTATTTAAATTATTTGATGTGTCTTAGTGCTGTGATTTATGGCATAACTAAATGACTTATTGTTTTTATTTATTGCTAAGATTAAATTTATTATTTTACTAATTTATGATTCTGGCCTGATTTCAGGTCAGGTTTTTTTTTGTTGTGTGCTGTTCCTTTGACTGTCCATTGGGTGGCGAGCTACCAGAGAACCACCGATACAGTGTGGTAGGAAAAAGTTCTCACAAACCTGGATCCTCTGATTTTGTTTTCCCAATGGACCTCATGAACTGTGAACCTTTTACTAATTAAACTGAAGAGTTTAATTTTTTTTTTTTTGCTCTTTTGAATCATCCTGTTGGAATATATTTGTTTTTTTGTTTTTTTTTTTGTTTTTTTCCTTTGAAATTATATTGATTATCACATTTGTGTGTATATTCTATTAATTCATATCCATATAAATTATATAATATAGCTCATTAACATGTATACGTAACCCATACTCTTTCTATTAGAAAATAAATATACAACTATTAATCATAATTTTCTTTCTTGTGCTTATTCACACCCCTTGACTCTACAGCCGAATCTACTTCTGAGCTCATTTTGCAGTCAGCCAAGCCCAAGTGTTACACTTGGATAAATGTAGTTCTCATAGTTATCCAGCAGATGCCGCCAGTCATAAGTGTGTCAAATGTTTAGAGCTTGGTTTCGACTTTTGGCCAGTTGTGTCAAATTGGTTCTTGGAGCTTCGAAATCACTATCTGACATGATCTGAATCAAATCAGACTCTAAAATGGGCAAATCCTTCTTAATAAAACCTGAGAGTAAAACATGAAAACAGCAGGAAGAGGAGTTTGGCTGCTCAACTGTTTATTCTAATCTTATGCAGAGTCATGACTGTTCTTTTTTAGTTCTGTTTTGTGAGTTTTCCGTTTCATGTCTTTATATGTTTTCTAGTTTTTATGGTTTTATTTCCATTTTTTTGTCATTCTAGTTATTTTCGATTGTATTTGAGTTCTTAGGTATTTCTTGTTTGCCCTCTTGTGCCAGTCTCCTTCTCCTAGCTCCCTTCTAGAATCCTCTGTTTCCATTTAATCACCTCATGTTCAGTCACTGGTTGCTGGTTCCCTGTTGTTCTGTTGCTCCATCATCTCTTTGCTCCCTATGTACATTTTTCCTCTGAGTTTTTCTTGATTTTGGTTATCAGTATTTTGCATTTTTGGCCCTTTTTGCCTCTGCCTCCTCTCCTCTGCATTTGTGTCCCCAAAAACTTCCACTTAACCTTGACATGCAGTTTATTTGGCAGAATCAGGATATCTATGAATCAACTATCTATATCTCAACTATCTGTCACTCAAGTATCTCTAACTCATCTATCTGTGACTAAACTAAACATTTAACTCTGTAAGTCAACTTCTATATATTAACTATCTGTTACTCAGCAATCTAAATATCAACTATCTATATCTCAACTATCGTTGACTTGCCTTACTTTATCTCATTTATCCATGAATCAGCTGTATGCAACTCATCTCTCTATCTCTCATCTCTCTATGTCTCAACTGTCTGTAACTTAGCTGTGTGTCCCTCAGCTCGTCGTAAGGCACCTTAGTTTTTTTTTTTAATCACTGCTGATTATTTTGGTCGACTTTTTAAAGTTCATTAGGGGTCAGGGAGTAAGGTTTGTTTGAGCTTTAGCCAATTGAGTTTCAGTATCAGAGCTCAATGACATTACAACTGCTGATGCAGCAGATTTGTTCAGTTTAAATTCAACTGCCAGAACTGTTGCAAGGTCTTAGAACCAGAACCAGACCAATAAAATACAGGATCCTGATTGTCCAGTTTGGCAGGTAGGACCAACTGTGTGTTTCTGAGGAACCATCATCATTAAGAGCAGATTATTAAACTTCTGTCTCTTCTGATTGTTTCATAATTTGTTGAAGTTTTACCATCAGATCTGCCCCTGTAGTTCTGTGACAGTTTAAACTGTTCTGATTTTACTCAATATATATACTGCAATATATTTCTTTTTCAATAACAGTGAAAGGACATTTCTGGTTTTACAACATACCTTACAGTTTATGATAGCAGCATTTCCTACTGGATTTATTGCAGGTTTATGTATTATTTTTTTTAACCAAATAATTCTGAAATGTTGTGTTTGAGAAGTTTTATAAAGTATTTACCTGAAGTTTGGATCGATGTTTTGAGGGTTTTACTGTCTTTCTGAGGTTTTCTATCCTTCTATATCAATATCGAAATTTTGACATGTCGACTGAAATTAAGAAATATATGGAGGTATAATTTTTGACCATATGCTTCTGTTTGGAACCATTATTTTCTGAGGGAGTCAGGAAGCAGCAGAGAAACTTTAGGCTGAAAAAGGACTCAATCACAACAATTAAACTTGTTAGACACTTTTTATAAGACACTTTTTAGAAGCTTAAAAGCTAAACATAAACAGAGAAATAAGGATAAATCCAACCAGCTCATACAGAAAGATTTCCCATTCTGATTATGTATTCAAACATCTCTGTGTCCTTTGGCTGTCATTCAGGGTTTATGTCTAAGTATGCCATATAACAGATGGTGTCTGGTTCGGGTAGAGACCCTGACCTGACATCAAGTCTATTCATAGCTTTACGGCCTGTTTTAATGTCAAGATTAAAGTGTTTACAATCTTTGCAGCCTTAGGTTGCAGAAATCTGAGATGTTGAATTTCTGTTACATCTCTGTGTCTTTGTGTGCTCTAGGTCAGCAGTTTATAGATGTTTGAAATGTTTGGCTTCAGCATAGTGAAAATAGACACGGCTGCTCCCTAAAGCCTGAAGTCACCTCGCAGCTCCACTTTGTCCTGAAGTTACCTTCTGCTGTTCCTCTGGAGATTTAGAGGGAAACCTGGTTCTGACATGGCTGAGATCGACCTGGAGGACTTCAGTGTTTACAGTCAGCTGACTGATGAAGAGCTGCTCCAGATCGCTGTGGAGAGAAGCCTCTGGGACATACATCGCTTACCAGACTCTGATCGAAGGTCAGCCTCCGCAGATCCACCTCCAGAACCCAGGCACAGACCCGCAGACCTGCCCACACCTCTGCCTCCATCCCAACGGCCACAACCAGTACGAGTCCAGAACAATATAAATCCCCCCACTGCCCTGTCCAACTTTCCATACAAAGTCCTCAATAGGTAAGTTCAACTAGTTGGGTAAGAGTGATAAAACATTAAGGGACAGCCAGTAAACGCTGGAAAACAGCAGCACTAGCTGAAAAAGTCCTTAGACTAAAGCAAAAACATAAAAAGAAACATCCAGTAACAGTGGAGACACTTGAGAGTAAAAAAACAAACCCTGCAAAACAATAAAAAACACACTAAAACAGGAGTTAAAGACTAAAAAAAGAATATAAAACCGAAAAAACATCCATTACGCAACACAATAACTGTAAACTCATTATTAAATACCAACAAGCATCCCATGAGCAGCAGAGACACTGGAAAGCAGCCACTAAAAACCAGAAAATAGTCTCTCCATATCAAAGCAACACAAAAACTACAATCCTGAAAAAAACTAATTAACAAAAAGAAACCTACATTTGTTTTGTGGATCTGGAGAAGGCATTTGACCGTGTCCCTTGGGGGGTGCTGTGGGGGGTTCTCTGGGAGGATGGAGTACTAACACCCCTTTAATAAGGGGTGTTAGGTCTCTGTATGACCGGTGTCAAAGCCTGGTCCGCATTGCCGGCAGTAAGTCGGACCCGTTTCTGGTGAGAGTTGGACTCCGCCAAGGTTGCCCTTTGTCACCGATTCTGTTTATAACTTTTATGGACAGAATTTCTAGGCACAGCCAAGGTGTTGAAGGGATCCGTTTTGGTGGCCTTAGGATTGCGTCTCTGTTATTCGCAGATGATGTGGTTCTATTGGCTTCATCAGGGCGTGATCTACAGCTCTCACTGGAGCGGTTCGCAGCCGAGTGTGAAGCGGCCGGGATGAGGATCAGTGCCTCCAAATCCGAGACCATGGTCTTGAGCCGGAAAAGGGTAGAGTGCCTTCTCCGGGTTGGGGAGGATGTACTGCCCCTAGTGGAGGAGTTTAAATATCTTTGGGTCTTGTTCATGAATGAGGGGAAGATGAAGCGGGAGATCGATAGGCGGATTGGTGCGGCGTCTGCTGTGAAGCGGGCCCTGTACCGGTCTGTTTTGGTGAAGAGAGAGCTGAGCCAAAAAGCAAAGCTCTCGATTTACCGGTCGATCTACGTTCCTACCCTCATCTATGCTCATGAGCTTTGGGTCATGACTGAAAGAATGAGATCTCGGATACAAGCGGCTGAAATGAGTTTTCTCCGTAGTGTGTCTGGGCTCTCCCTTAGAGAGGGGGAGGAGCTCAGTCATCCGGGGAGGACTCAGAGTAGAGCCGCTGCTCCTCCACATCAAGAGGAACCAGTTGAGGTGGCTCAGGCATCTGGTTAGGATGCCTCCTGTGCTGCCGCATGGGATAGATAACTTCTGACCCATCCTGTTACTCCTTTGAAGTCCGATAATAAAATCAGCAGAAAGAGAGGTCCCGGCAGAGTTGACTATAGACTTTTCAAGGGGTCTCATCCTCTGTCTGGTCCCTCTCCTTTTCTGCAGAAATGTCACTTGCTTTGTGTTGGTTTTCATTTCTAGGACAATAAGGGGTTATTATCATTAACCCTTACTGAATGTTTCCCTCGTGTCAGAGTACCCAGTCCTCTACAGACTATCATTATGAAAGGAGATGCTGAGGCTTTAATGGAGGTGGTCCATACCAGGTACAGCAGTCTGACTGAGCCCAGCGATGAAGGCTGGATCGCTCTTCATGAAGCCGCTAACTATGGCCAGCTAAAGTGTGTCCAGATCCTGATCAGAGGTAAGGGTTACGATTTTCCTCCTGCTTCAGTCCGTAATCTTTTTTCTAAAATAGAATAGAATAAAAACATGTTCTAAAATCAGTTTTAGATCTCAGTTACAATCGCAGATGAAAATCTCCATCCTTCAATTTTCTGTCACGTTTATCCCTACTGGGGTGGCTGCCTATCTACAGCTGTCTACGGGTGAGAGGCAGGGTCCACCCTGGACAGGTCTCCAGTCCATCGCAGGGCAACACAGAGACAACCATTCACACACACTCACACCTAAGGAGAATTTAGAGAAGCCTATTAACCTAACAGTCATGTTTTTGGACAGTGGGAGGAAGCCAGAATACCCGGAGAGAACCCACTCATGCACTGGGTGAACATGCAAACTCCATGCAGAAAGACCCCGGGCCGGGAATCAAACCTGTAACCCTCTTGCTGCAAGGCAGCACTGCTACCCACTGTGACACTGAGCAGCCCCAAGATGAGACCAGTTTCTTTAAATCAACAAAGTAAAATGTCAAGATGAACCAATTAGATGATTTAATCACTTCTACTTTTATCAAAAATAGATTTTTAAAGCAGTAGACCTGCTTTATACTAACACTGTCTGTCTGTCTGTCTACCTTATCTGATTTGCAATTGAGCATTTCTATAAGTCTAATGAGT